TTTGTACTGAATATTGGTACGGCTGATGTCGAGGATCGAGAGCTGGCCTCTGTTGGGAGGCCGTCTCAGATACTGGCTTTTTTTTAAGCCCTGAGACTGTATGATGAGTTATAACTCGATAACTCAAGAAGGGAAACACACAATAGATGCTGTCAAGGTTGCGTGTTAACTCCCCTCCACATAAACATTCTACATTCATGGTTCTCTAAGATATTTAACATCAAGGCGATCAATACCTGTCGCCGTTATTGACATAAATTTTAAACATTTTTTTATTTTTTACATTTTAGTAAACTGAAATAATTAAAATTGAAATTTTTGTATGCCAGAAATTCCAACTATAGTTCAGAAATTATTTGAAAAAAACGAAAATAAAAAATGAAACGGGAAGTAAAAAAAGAAACATATTTATACGAACTTTTTACATATTTTTATCTGAAAATATGCTGCCAAAAGTCTTCCCGGGGGGATAGAATTCACGGACCACCCCTGTATATATCTTTTTGTTTTTTTTTTTTTTTTTTTAAATAAGTTTTAAATATAACTCAACGTAATGTACATTGCTCTAAAATGCATTATTATTGAAATTGTTGCTCTTATTGAGGCGTTAGAATCGTATGTCACATGCCACCCTGTATATTGATATTGGATTGCTATAAAAATTTAGAAAATGCAGTTTAATCGTAAAATCTCCAAGAATAAAAACAGACATTTTATGTATTTGATATATCTGAATTATACAATGTTTTAATATGCAATGTATTCCGAAATTATTATTATTAATAGCATTAATATTAAGAAGTTAAAAATGAATTATAAAAGAGGACATTGTTGAGTCCTAAAAAGCAAATTAAAGAAATACATCGTCCTCAGCAGTTCTCTATATAATAATTCGGTTTTGCCTAACGGACATTAATAGGATTTAGTATAACTTTCGGAACACCTTTGTCACTTGTTTACATTGTAAAGGACGAAAATTATTCCTATAAACTATATTATTAAAACACAACCCTTTATTTTTAACAAAAAAAAAAAATATTTTAGAAATAATATACGGGTATTTCAAAAATAATAAAGTAATTTCAGGCTTCCTTCAAATATGCTTAAATGGGTATACTCTATACGAGAAATACAACACACTGGCCAACAAAAATATTACACCTATAAACGATTATTTTTATTTATTGGATCCTAATATGATTCTTTTTATATACAAAATTGTAATAATAATAAAATAATATAAAATTAAACAATCTAAAGTGCAACTAGGCTGTGACAACTCTCTCTTTTATTTCATAATGAGTGGAAAAATCAACAAAAACAATTTCATTTTAAACAAAAAATATTGGAAAACAATCTTTAATTATTTCCACACAACTAATAGTCTTTATTGCCTCCTCGAGCCTCAAAGCAAGCTGTGAGACGACGTGGAATGCTCTCAATTAAGTTGTTCAGAAGATGTTGAGGAATCTCTTCTCATGTTTCGCGCGCAACAATTTTCAATTCGTTTAAGATACGGGGGATCATTCCTTTTGACAATACTCCGGCGTCTTGATACGCATGTCCCAAGCATGCTCGGTTACATCATATCTGGAGACATCGGCGGCCACCACAGGTTTTCTTATACCCTCCTTCCTCACAAAATTTGCGAACCGCTAAATTGCAATGGGGAGGAGGATTATTGTTCATGTAAACAAATTCATCACCCACTGCCCCTCGAAATGGGACGCACAATAGGCTCTGAAACGTTTCTAAGATATGAGGTACCTGTCATTCTGCCATCAATAAAAACAAGTTAACCAAGAGTTCGAGCTCCGTGCATTATACCTGCCCATACCCATAATGCTTCCCCTTCGAAACGGGACACGGGGTTGAACTGCATTCAAGCGTGCTCGTCTTCCAGATACTCTCCAGACCAAAATTCGTCACGAGTCTGACACTAGGCCTTTCTTGCTTCATCACTAAACATGACAAAATTCCAATTAGGTCCATTTGCTTCATCATTCTCCTCAGCCCTTTGTAGTCACGTAATTTTGTGCTGTAAATTAAGCTTCGGAACACTTAGAGGCCTCCATTAAATATAATCCTCTGTCATAGAGCCTTCTCGCTATGATCTTTCTTGAAAAATTTACTCCTTCAAGCGGGCTAACTCATTTTTTCTAATGGTTTACTAGGAAAGCAGGGGATTGCGTCGAGCAATTAGGGATATTTGACGGCCTTGCACAGCAGTAGTAACTTTCTTTCTACCTCTTCCAGGCCCGTCTGTAACCTCTTTTTGTCTGAATTTTTTAATATTTACCCCAAACATCGCTTTTGGTTATATCTCCTGATAAATTTCAGCTTATTGCACACTGCCGGCTATAGCCCTGGTTGAGACAGGGTACATTCTGACTATTAAAACTGTAAATAATGGTTTCTCTAGGCATTTTGGCCAAAACAATGGTCAAATTCTTCTGAAACCCAAGAGACCACGAATCGAAATGTGCAAGAAATTTGTAATAATATTGGGTCTGAACGAAAACATTGTTTTCGAATCATTTTAACAAAAAAAAATGTTTATTACAGATTATCAAAGCTATGTATAAAATATTCTTTAATTTCTTTCCGTTATTTTTAAACGATATATGCAATAATTTGGCCATGTGTGTATTGAATCGTTTTTGAAAAAATATAAATTTATTTATTTATTTAAGATTGACCCTGTATATACTTACTTCGTGAAAATTGACAGGTTTAAATTTCTCCTTGAACAATTCTTTTCCAAAATTCTAATATCCTGTAACTCAAAATAACCCCTTTTTGAGCATATTCTATATTTATATCAATAAGTTCTTGAAAACTCTTGAAATGTTTATACCTTATTTACGAAACAGCCTGTTATATATTTTACACATTTTTTACATGGTTAGCAGTATTTTGTATGTGAGCAGGAAATAACAAAAAGTGTACAATGTTCAAAGAAACAATACAAAGCACAGATCAGAGAAATGTCATTGATAAAAAAATGATTTGGAACTTGACATATACATATTAAATATCAATTAACATACCTATTTAAGATAGAAAATGTCAATGAACATTTATACTGTATAATGACTATTATTTCATACGCTTTAATTAAAGTTAACAGAAAAAAAATAAATCATTTTACAATATTTCGGATTTTTTCCGAGTTTTTTGAAAATATTCGGATACTTATTATATTTAGATTTCTGGAAACTTCATTTTTACTTATATCAAAAATATCGCAACTTGGCCATATTGACCAAAAGAAATATGATGCTCAAATCATATATCTCTTGGCTACCGAGATCCAAATAGTAACCGTGGAATTTGGAACCCTCTGTATATTTTAATTCAATGCTTTGGTACAAAAGTCTATTCAGAAAGTCAGACAATCGGCAAATAAATATCGTAGAGTGTAATTATATCCATCTTTAATCAACAGCTAATATTTTATTTTCTGCAATCAATTTTTTTGCACCTACATAGAGAGATATATTTCGAGATCTTTGGAAACTCTACAGCAAAGACTTCCTTAAGACAGATTGACCTTATTCAAATAGTACTTGAAAGCCTTTGAAGCACTTGAAGCACTTTGCTGAGCATTAACAGTTCCTTTGTGGTTTTAGAATTGGGTTGTTGGATGTCGTTTGCTATGCCTGTGCTCCTAACCTTTTTCCAGTGGACGAGCTGTTTTTCTCTGATCCAGAGTTTACTGCCCTACGGCTTATACATTTAGGTATTCCCAGTACTGGCTATGGACCAAGATAGGATTTCCGTTAATCCTAGCCTTCTGCCTAATTCAAGTCTGCCTTGGATATCACTCTGATCAGGCACCAGAATAATTTAATTCTGTTCGTTTCTAGCAGATTTCCAAATTCATCCTGGCATTGCCAGATGAGTCTCGACGATACCTGTGCCTTCATGAGTGTTTTAAATATCGCCTAATTGTCTAAGCATATATTGATGAGCTTTCTTGAGTAAAGCGGGGTTTACATTGGTCAAGTTACTTGATTCAAGTTTACTTGAATCAAGTAACTTGAACGTCACTTGAACCGTGTAAACACTTCTGCAAGTGATTTTTTCCTCATTCAAGTAGTGCTTGACCCCTAGATTCAAGTGTCAAGTAAAAGTGAACACATGTTGATTTTTGGGAGTTCAAGGCTTGGCCTGCACTTGAAACAAGTAGGAAGGTCTCTTGACCAGTGTAAACACACATTCAAGCTCACTTGCTTCAAGGATTAACCTAAAAATCTAGTGTCACATTGAGTGGTGTTGTTTTGTTGTTGTTGTTGTATGTTAAAAGCATCTTTATTTAAAAATTGAGTTCAATAATGTTAAGTGCGGGCGACAACGCGTAGTCAAATTATTGAATTCCTGGAGGTGTATGAAAACTATCCTGTACTGTGGAACTCGGGTTTGAGTGAATATAAAAATAAGAATTTAAGAGATGCCGGATTTAAAGGTTTGGTAGACAAATTGAAAACCAATTTTCCCGACATCACCTTGGATGTGGTTAAGCCAAAATAAAAAGTAATCAAAACCATTGTCAGTCAAGAATGCATAAAAATTGCGAAATCCAAAAAATCAGGTTCAGCTGCTGATGAACTCTACGAACCTAAACTTAGTTGGTTCCATGCAGCAACAGCAAAGTTTTAATTGTTGTTCGTCCAGCAGACTTCTACTTCAACATCTGGTAAGTAAAAACAACATTTCTTTATGTCTACACATTAAATTTATTAATAAAATGGCTTTCATATACATATAAGTTACATATTTACATACAAATATATTGCAGTAATAGTATTTTAACTGAGTACCTTCAGCATACAATATACAGGAAAGGCTAACATATATTACAATTGTAAAAACATTGCATTTACGCAGGTTAAACTGTATTATTACCCATATTTAGTTACAAAGTAAAGCTGTTCGATGGTTGAATTTCACGCACCAATTCCACTTTCAGTTGCCACGGTAGTACCCTTTTTGAAGAGAAGAATTTTTCATACTGCTCTCTAAACGATTTGAGCTCACGTTTGTAAGCATTTGTCGAAGTCAGTTTCGATGTCCTCAGCAGACATGATGTATTGAGAGTGGTGCGCCATGTGCCTGGTATGATTGTGCATGTTGCCATGTCTTCCACATCTACAGATGAAGGATGAAGGTAATATTTCCCTGATGATTTGCGTAGCCAGTTGTGAAGTGCACAACAAGTTTTGACAACCAAATCTACAGTTTCAGGAATCAATGCAATAGGCCGTTCGAATGCTCTAAATCTAGCAACTAAAATGCCGAAAGCATTTTCCGAAACTCTACGAGCTCTAGAAAGTCGATAATTGAATATTCTTTCTGAAATTGTTAAGTTGCGTTTGCTGAAAGGTTTCAGTATGTCCTTTCTTAGAGGAAACGCATCATCTCGCAACAATAACGCATCTGTTGGGGTATAATTTAGGTGTGTTACGTTCCATTGCAATGTTCAATGTTGATGCTTGAAAAAACTCCATCCATTCATTTGACTTTCCATTAGCACCGACATCTATGTATAAGAAATTGTATTCGGCATCAACTAATGCGAACAGTATGATGCTGAATTACCCTTGTAAATTGTAGTAATTCGAACCGCTCTCAGCAGGGCACTTTATTTGGACATGTTTCCCATCAATGGCTCCTATGCAATTGGGAAAGTTCCACTGCACTTCAAATTTGCGTTGCACCAATTCCCACTCTTCCTTTGTACTTGGCACCTGAAAAAAAAATGTATTCCACAATTTTTCATAATATTTCTATTTATTTGTACAGTTTTCTGTTCATTTCAGGATAAGGAAATCCAAATTCTGCCTACACTGACTGACGCATCTGAGACTGACGATATAGAGGATGTGGATTCTCCAAGTTCTCCAATTGTTCAACCACAACCAAACCAACTAAATCTCCAAAAACACCTGGAATGCAGCCTCCACGCTCCAAAAAGCCAAAAAATACCGAAATACTTGCTGTTGAACACATAGTTGATAAACTACATGCAATATCACAAAACGTTAAACCAGCTGGCAAAAATGGTTCTGTGAGACACACTAGTGATGAACTGTCTCATTTTGGAGAGTACGTTTCAGCACAATTGGGGCAATTAAACCCAATTGATTCTCTTAATGCTCAAAAAGCTATCCAAGACATTCTTATAGCTGCAAGAATCAAATCATTGAATCGAAACATGCAAATTCACAGATATTCTTCACTATCACCAACCATAGCTACCTCTGTATCTGGATCTGACAGAACTGATGTGGAAGATATTCATTACCAAGACAATTCAAACGACTTACTTTCTCCTGCTTTGCAAACCAGTTTCTTACTAGAAACCGACAAAGAACAAAATGATTCCGACAATTTTCTGGTCTTTCAAGAAATTGTTGTTGACAAGAACAATCTGTTAATTATGAAATTATTTTAAAAATTAATTGACATCCTACTTGTAACAGTAAACATAATTATAAAATATAAGTGTTTTTTGCTACCTTAATATATTTCTTCGAGTACTTCGTAAACCGCTGCCAAAACTTCAGGTAGGAATTTGCTGATTGAACATTTTGGCACTCTGTATAGATACTGCAAAGAAGCGAAACTGTCACCAGTAGCTAAATACCTTAAGGTTATTTCAAGTTTAGTTTTTGCCGGTATTGCTAGCCTGGAACATTGTTCCTTTTTTTTAATCTTCTTTTCAACCAAAGTCAAAAGTTCATCAAACCTTTGTGGTGTCATTCTTAGGTGGTTTCTGTATGAATCCACGTCCTCTACAGCTAATTCTCTGAGTAAGCTGTTTGAGGCTCCAAGAATTAATCTACGACTAATCCAACTCCGTACCCATAACCTCATTCCTCTTCTTTCTTTCATTTTTTCTCTAATGCATTTACTGTAACATCGCTTACAAATGGTACTACCAGTGCAACGACTTGACGGAGAGCATCAGCTATATCATCAGGAGTGACGGCCATTTTCACTGCAGACAACCAAAACAATCCCTCCACTTGAATTCAAGTTTGCAAAAATCGTTCATATAGTGTAAACACCAAAATTGATTCAAGTTGACTTGACTCAAGTTAACTTGATTCAAGTAACTTGACTAATGTAAACCCCGCTTAAGCTCTTCGATTGTTTTCCCTCGCGCATTGTAGAATAGCAAAAATTTCTGCCTGGAATTCGGTTGAGTATTTACCGAAAGATTCTTGGTCTTTCCTCAGACACTCCAGCCTCTTATTCCGTCAGCAGTATATATACCAAGTCAGCAGTATACATACCAAGTCAGCAGTATATATACCAGTCTGTATACCAAGTTAGTCCATCCTGAAAAAATGTTGTAACATTCCTCGATACATTTTCATCAACTCGACAATGGTACTCTACTTATCCAGTACGATCTCATTTTTTTTTTTTTTTGGGGAAACATCATAGAGGTCCCCAAATATGAAATTCCCATCTTTCAATTCCTGTTTCTGTCCTATTCCCCAGAGACAATGCACTTTATTGGCGATATACCGTTCGATTTTTGGAGTAAGCTGTGAGCCCAATCCGTGTGAGCAGTGCCTCTGTCTGAACTGAATGTCAATTCCATTTATGCTGAATAATTTGAAAAATATTGTAATGTTTTCTACAAGTTCCGTATAAAAAGATTTAAAAAAATCAAATCAAACCAAACACAACTAATTAAATCAGTGTTATAAAGGTAAAAAGACAAATGTTTGCTCAAACCAAACCATAATAAAAGATTTATCAATACTCCGAACGCGACTACTGTAGATACATGTTGTCTATCTACATTTATTTTAATTATACAATTGGTTTAGGTTTACGTTTTATTTGCAATTCAGTGTTTTATGGAGTTGTCACTAATTTGTATTTATCATTTCCTGAATTTAACTTATATTTATTATGATTATATTTATCGCAAATTTATCCCAAAAATATTGATATGTACTAAAACTTTAGTACAGTTCCAACTACATATTGACTCATATAAGAGATTAGTATAAAAATCCTACGTGCGACAACAAATTACATTCGCTGTTACGATGAAAGAAAACTTGATAATATTTTTAAAGGTTTCACATAATTTAACTATAAAAATAAAAAAAAAAAAAAAAAAAAAAAAAAAAAAAAAAAAAAAACTATTTTAAATAGCTAAAGTGTACATGGAACAAATACAGGTGCGCCTCTCATACGCCGGGAAAGCTCCAAGAAGAACGGTAATTTATATCGAAATGAAATAAATTGACTTATATTCGAATATAAAAATGACACTCTGAATAGAATGACATATCATATGTCAACTTTTGACATTTTTCAAATCATGGTTTATTTGAACTTACAACATGCGATTCATAACGACAATTTGACTCAAAGTACCAAGTGTGTGGTACCAAATTATTCGTAAAAAAAATGCTTTTTCCAAATATTCTAATGAGCCCACCCTCGTGGTCCATTTGAAAAGATCGAAATATGATTAAAAATACGATTTGGGTATCTTTTAACCGGCCAGGACAAGACACGAATAAAATTAGAGGATCAAATCTATTTTTCCAAGGTTCCTTGATTAAAAATAGATTTGATCGTCTAATGTTTTTAGTGTCTTGTCTTGGCCAGTTAGAAAATGCTCAAATCGTATTATTAATCATATCTCAAATTTTTTCAAATAGAAGGAGGGTGGCTCATTAGCATACTTGGAAAAGGCATTTTTTTACTAATAATTTGATACCACACACTTGGTATTTCGAGTCAAATTTTCGTTACGAACCGCAAGTTATAATTTCAAATACACCATATGCGAAAATGTCAAAAGTTGACATATGATACATCATTCTATTCAGAATGTTATTTTCTTTTGAATAATGTAAAAAAATACAGAGGGTGCCATTTAAAAATCAAAAGTTGTAGTAATTTCCGGTGAAACAGGAAGTGACCGAAAACAATTGAATACGTCAATCAATCCTAATTTATGTCATATACTAACATACCAAATCTCGTTTTTTTAATTGAAAAAATAAAACAGTTAGGGTTAGGGATAAGCCACTTTTGAGACGCACCCGGTTGGTATATTGTGCATTGTTCTCATTCTTTTTTGTGAATAAAGATGCCGTGTAATAATGTTTGTTAGTGTTTCTTATGTGCGTTTCCTATCTCATTTAATAAATTATATTATTGTTTGAACATATTGTTTTTGTCCTGTCATATAGTCTATAAAATGAATAACTTTGAATTTTGACCGTTATTTTTTATCAACATGGCAAATATAAAATCCCTCTGTCAAAAAAGTAACTGATATTCTTTAAATTGAGTGCCTGAACGAATCAGATAGGTAACTCTTTTTACTTTGGTGAAATAGAAAAGGAAAATAATAAAACAAGTGACAGTTCTTCCTCTTCTTGCAAAAATCAACACGAAATGTCATGTTTGTCAAAAGTAAAATGTCATCAGCTTCTAAATATCAGACCAATGCCGTCTCTAATAGATCAGCCCAGAAGCGAGATTTATGACGTCACGCTAGTTAGATACTACGCATTAATAAATATGTTGTAGAATACATAGAAAACGTAATTATTCCTCGTATTTTTGGTTTGTATTTTAAAAATGATATAGTTTGAAAGTATACATGAAATATACATAATATGCAGTTAATAAATACAATATATCTCTATATATATTATGTCTACGTCTATTTATAGTAATAAATACTTTGGCAAATAAACTATGAACTATACAAATGCAGCAAATGTTTTACAATATACAAATAATGAATAGGTACATAAATTAATGGGTAAAATGTAAAATATATTTTAAATTTTGGAGTTTGAAAATCGATCTAATTTAACAAAAAACATTTAATATCTACTAAATGTGATGTATTAACATTTGCATTCACAAAATTTCTATGTATATTGTGCAAGTATCAATGTTCGAAAAATTATATTTGCAAATAATAAAATATCATAGAAAAAAAGGCGTCAGCGATGGCTATGAAATAAAGATCACTGTCATTTTATATGTAAAATTATTCTAAAATTTTAGATTTTCTTGGGATTTAGGTTCGGGAAAAGTGCTGATTAAGTTTTCATTTGGTTTTTCATTTATTTGGTTTAAAAAAACGTTTCGGCTAAGACTATAGCCTTCATCAGTGTTGTGTCATATGAAAAAATAGTGTCGAATATAATCCAGAAAATTACATATAAAATATTCACACCACACACTACATAACGTTTACTGCAATTAATAAACTAATACAAACTTGTCAAAAGATGACCACAAATTTTTTAAAATTATTATTCTTAACACTAAAACTATCTACATTGACTATGGAGTACGATTTCAGCCATAGTCAATTTCAATCATAGTAGACAGTTTTAGTGTTTTAATATTCTACAACATATTTATTAATCCGTAGTATCTAACTAGCGTGACGTCATAAATCTCGGTCCGAGGCTGTTCTATTAGAGACGGCATTGCGTCAGCATGGCCGTAAGTTGCTAACCTAATAAAGTTAACCCTAGAAAAGCCCGCGGGAACTGTCAAATTCAAAGTTATTCGTTTAACAGACTATACTATAAACCTTAGATATAAACTATAACTGTAACTAATATCTTTTCTACAGTTATAGACTAGATAGATGAATCATTTGGATGTACAATAGAACAATAGATATGTATTACTATTAGTGATAAATTTTCTTTGCAAGTTTATTTTGAGATCTTGACAATCAACCATTAAAAAATGGCAAACGATTATCTTCTCTACTTCTAAAGTAAATTTTATGGTTATGATTCGATTTTTAGGTTGGTTCGCTAATTTATTAACTCTAAAAAACTATCAATTTATTATATATCTATCTATCTATACCTATTTCATGAAATGGTATGTTGCCATACTACGGAA